GTAGAATAAAGAGAGAAATCAGAATTGCACTAATTTGACAGGATAGCTTGGAAGTTGGCTAGAGTTGAAGGGAAACGAGAAAGGGGATCAGTTTTCCCCTCACTAAAGTGACCCTTGGGAACGGCAAATCTTGCAACTCACGGTCGCACCTTTTTGTCTCAGGAATACGCCACTTTCCTGCATCTTCCCCGCAAACTTCTCCCAGCATCCTCTCTCAAAAAATACAAAAAAAAGAGAGAAAACAGAAGACTGGGGAATAGTAGAGAGAGTACCTTCCTTTATTAATTTCTCTTGAAAATGTCGTAGGAGAAGCCCCGAAAAATTTAGTGGGAGGAGATTGTGATCAGTTTGCCAAACTTGTCTCAATTTGGTCGTGTGACACTGAGCACTTCTGCTGCAGGATCTGCAAACTCATGGCGCAAATTTCTTTCTCTTGCCTGATCCGACACCTATTCTTGGCGCCACTGCAGACAGTTCTGATATTCGAAAGGAAGTCTTTTCTTGAAGGTATATACCCAGTGAACTAAACAAAGACATCTTTATGGATTGTTATCTCCACTGACCACCCTTAGCGGATTAACAATACAACAATCAGCGGTCAATTTTAACAAGTCATGATTCATTCTGTAGACATTTTGATAATACAAATATTGGAAGACAAATGACCACTGGTACAACCGATACTGAAGATTCAATATTTTTCGTCAATTGTCACTGTTGTCTGAATTTTCTTCCTTTGACTTTTCATGTCTAGACTGACAGCATTTACAAATTTTGATCTCCTATTTCGAGTTGTTTGGATTGACTTTTGCATCGTAATATTGATCATGATATATTCAAAAAGTGTTAAAAAAGAACTAGAGAGAGAAATGTTCATAGAAGTTATTCACAGTGACGGAGGACTAGTTATTTAAAAGAAAGTTGGGAAAACAAGAAATATTAAATATCACAAGGAAATTCTTTTGGGGAGGAGTTGAAAGCAGCCCATAATATTATTTGCCTTTTTACAAAATTAGAATTTTGTTATGATTTTCACAGTAAGTCGTGTAAACGATCAAAATTATTTGAGCTTTGCAAACAGGTAAAGGTTAAGATCCTCTCCAAAGAGCTTCAGAAAGTGCAGTGATTTGGTCAATATTTGACCTAAAGTGAACTCCTAGCTGCACCTCGACCTTCTCCAATCCACCAACCCCAGTCATCAAAAGATGAGTCTATTGGCTCTAATCTTATCTTACAATAGGGCGTTAATCCATGTACGGAGACCACTAAAGGCAACGAAGGTTTCCCCCACTTCAACAAAAGCGAGAGAAAAGAGGAATAATATTTGACCGTTAAAGAATCTGATACGCTCCTATTGTCATGTGCTGCTATTCAGATAAACCATTTAATACACCTTTTATTCATCTAATTGTTGGTCCCTGTGAAACCTCACAGATAAATAACATCGTTTGGAATGATCTGCAATTAATACCCTTGTTTGGGCACTTTGTAGTCTTCACTTGCTCACCTTTCACAGCTCTTTAAAAAGGACGTTCTTCCAGGAGGCAAGTTTTTCATTGAAATCTCGTCTTCATAATCATCAATCTTGCCAATGACTGGTTATATATGCTGCTCAGTTTTTTGAACCTTTTCACTTGTTGAAAGTCAGCGAAAATTCTTTTATGAGTAGACAATGTATTTCACCAAAGATCATGTCATTCTTCCAGCTTTATAAACATGTTGTTGGCGACACAGTACCGACCATCAGTCTTCTATTTAACCTTATTAGATCTTGTATTTTCTTTTATAAGGGGTTGAGAACAAAGGGGTAATGATAAAATAGTTTTATTATGTTTTTCTTGCAATTCATACCCACACTTTTAGCAGGGATAGAATAATTAGGCCTGTTTTCATCAGCTCAAGATTGCCAAATATTCCGCTATTTGAACTATCCCAATTGCAAATTATCCAGTTAATTTGCATTTTCATCAGCCCGAAGTTGCAATTTGCGGGATATTTGGTTGAGATAATCATCCCAAGATATCTTGGGCTAGTCTGCAAAATATCCCGCTATTTGTCCGGTGCGTCTTCACCAACCCGAAGACTCGCACTGTGCGCGGACACTGAGCAAAATATATCTTGAGTTTCGCGTTTGAAGGTCAAATCTCGAGCTGATGAAGACGCGATTTGTAACTTCAGGATCATTTCCCAAATCAGAACTGGCGGGCCATTTTTCAATCTCAAGCTGATGAAGACAGGCCTATTGTGTGTTGAGAGCCAGACAGGAGTTGACTCGTATCAAGAGAGCTGACACCCTTATGGCTCTCAGCAGACAACTACCGGTATTGATCAGGTTTTGTCTGTCTGACAAAATTGATGCACATGTGTTATGGAAGGTTACATTACTAAGCACGCTAAAGGAGCCATCAGCAAATGCCAGAATGTCGTCATAGAGTAGTTACGCCACAAAGCGTTAATTGATTTTGATATTAACATCTCTCATTGAATAAATAGGAAGTATATAGTCTAGTACGGTATCTAAGATGTGTTGTAGTTTGTTCATTATTGCAACAAAGTAGAACAAATTAATATGACAATGAGTAGGAAAAGAGGGAAGAAAATCCCTTGAATTTGAAGGAGCTTCCACATAGTTTAGTGGGTAAAAAGTTATCAACAAATTAAGTGACGTTTCAGAAATATGAAAGAATGATCCTGCTTAATTTATCAATTTCAAAATTATGCATTGAGATATATATTTATCTTTTCATCTATGTTATAGTGTTTGAAATATACACCACCCACTTACATTTTATCAATAATTGCCACAGACAGGAATGAAAGAATGTTTATGAGACAAATGTTTATTGGCAAGAGTTTGATGTGGAAATGTCTGCTACTCATCGATTTCAAGTTGAAGTAGACTGAGAATCCATTCAATGAATGGAAGCTCTCTGTCTGCTCTTATGCATTTGCTTGAAAAGAAGAACAAAAGAGGGACATTGGGAGCATAGAAGTCTGTGATTTCCCGTACGTCGTCGGTATTATGTACATCACGTTGGTGACAAAACTCCAATTAAGACTCGGGAGACTAGCCTCGAATGGAGTGATACTGGTTGTGTCTTTGAGAAGAAATGCTAGAGGAACCTGTTGGTTTGTTCGTAAGGAAGGTCTAATCTTCTAATGGTAGGATGATTGGGATGAATAGGATTGGTAATCATCGTCACCACACTCCTCCATCCTCTTAGCAGGTGATGCCATCCCTGCATCAATACGGAGCAGGTGAGTTCCCTACAATACAAGCCTGTATCTCCATCTTTGCGTGATAGCATCATTCTAATAATCCCATCATTACTTACTAAATCAACAGATTTATTGGGGTAAGTATTGAAAATCAATTTTCAGAAGGCATCCACCAAATTTCCACAAAAAATTACTCTGAAATCTAGTTATTTTTATCAACGAAATAGTTCAGAATTCTTCAGATATATATGAGAAACTTTGCAGATTATAAATGTGCTGTGAGTTTCTGGCAAAGGTAACACTTTTTTGTTACTTTTATATAGCAAACGTGTATTCTGCAAACAGAAATTGTCAATGGGATCCTCACTTTAGTAAAAGAATTTAAAAAGATTGTTATATGAGTAATATTTGATGAAACCTCTGAAAATCTTTACTGATCTATGCCATAGTAGGCCTATATCACATGGTTAATCAAAGCGCAAGTTCTTTTTGAAGAGTTCAGCTTTATTTTGCCAGTTTCGAGTATAGTTCCTACAATAGTTCTCCCTCCCCCTTTTCCCCTTTTGATTGGCCAAATGAGTAATAATTCATCTTGCCCATCTATTACAAATTGAACGACAAAGTGGTAACGGGAGAACACATTAGTACTATCAATGGATACGCCTATTATTAATCCCTTCTTTGATAAGTGGTTTGGTATTTTCTCTATTTTCCCAGTCATGGTTGGGCAGCGTTGCATGTGATTGATCAGCTCTTTGTAGATGAGGTAAGAAGATGTTGGTCCGGATCTCTCTATCATTTCACATCTGATTGCATGGACACCAGCAAACAAAAAAAGAGAGGGGGTGAAGAAAAGAGCTGGGAAATTGGAAGAGAACAAACAGAATATAACAAAGGCTGAATTGTTAAAGAATCACATCATCAACACTATAACTGGTCTGTCTTATTGTGAAATCAACAGGCCATTATCACCCTCTTTGTCCAAACATTTGTTTGCATGTAATTTATTTCACTTTGCAATTTGTTTTCCTTAATTACTATTCCATAATTAAAATTGCAATTTGCAATATTCTTTCCTTATGTACATTTTTAATTAGCAATTTGTTATTCTTCAATTAAAGAAAATGGTTTGTACTTTATAGGCCTATATATGTTTGTAATAGTGTATCTGTTTGGAATCACAAGGAGGTTATATATATGTTATTCATGAGTTAATCTCCTGTCTTATAATGGATAATTGAATTATATATTTTCTGAATCTGAATTTTGAAATACAACTTTATTGTCTCAAGTTATTAATGCTTATTGAATACATAATTGATTTTTGTTTGTACTAAATTTATCTCAAGGTTGTCCATTATCTCATCAGTAAACTATATTGCTTAGACTAATTTCTCATGCTGGACAAATTTTCTAACTCAATTCTTCATATTTCTTGTAAATGGCCTCGTCTATTTGGTATTCATATGTTAATCATATCTGGCCTGGTGGAGTGTCCCTCTGGTAACTTGTGGTCACACACACACACCAAGCTCCTTATTGGCTGTGAGGCTTCTAGAACTCAGTGGTTGGTCCCTGCAGTCCAGCCTACCTACCCCATGGATCCTCAGCCAGCCAGCCAGCCAGCCAGCGGTCACCAACACTGCTGGCCAGAGAGAGAGAGAGAGAGAGAGAGAGAGAGAGAGAGAAGGGGAAGGAGAGGAGAAAAGCTACCATTGTAGGGCTATCTCGCAGAAAGCAGGAAGTGCTAGTAATTACGGCCAAACTTTCAGTCCGTCTCTCTTTGTGTATAATATGGTAGAGGGATCGAGTGTGAATAGAATATCTTGCCAAGAATACAAAATCATTCTCAGGGCTTTGACTCCGCCAGCCACCGGTCTTTGATTGAAGAAGCTCAAGCCCCGATCGCTCGCAGTATACATCCGCCTATCTTCACTGGGGATCAGTGGGGAATCTCTCGGCATTGAAAGCCAGAAGTTTGCCCGTGATAGCCGCGCTGTGTTGCACTCCCTGTCCTTGTTTATCAATGATAAGTTTCAGAAGTTGAGCGTCAGTCTCCTTGGTTGTGCCAGCAGTTTGCCATTTGCAATTTTTTACATTTTGTTGTGAGAGACTTTCAGCAGTATTTTTCTCTTGTGGAGCAGCTGATTCCTTTGCACAAATGGTATGTTTTCTCATATTTACTCTATTTCTGTGATATACAGCCTACATAATGACACTAATAATATTTACTTAATATGATCATTTATATCAATAATATTATCCATTTCTGGCATCAAGAACACTTTTTTTTTAAAGAAATATTTATACTATGTTTATTATCTGCTTTAAAAGTGAAGTACTTAAGTTTTTATTTACCTTCAGTTGGAAACAGGAACACCTTGTCAAAAAGTGATATGATTTGTCTCTTCTTGACTGAATAATTTTTGTAGAACATTGCAAACAAGTGTAGTAATTGTATTAGCAGTCATTTATATTCTCATCTAATCTAAGAAATCTTGTATGTGTATTTTTGTATCTTGGAGGTTAAGGATATTAACATGGCAAATAGAGGGAAGGTCTGAAGATTTATTAGAAGTTTGATGACAAAAAATGGACTGATCTTCATGAGACGATTATGAAGTATGATATCAACCCCATCATATCTCCTGAATCAATATTTTCTTAACCTTTGTAAAATTTACACTGCTTTATGAATATTTGAGCCCAACCTTTAACTTTTTGCATTGTCAAGTCTGTTTATCTTGTCTCTTATGTACATTTGTTAAATTAAAGAAGGGTATGTGTGTTTTAGCGATCTTTCTCGGGAGAAGCAAAACACACAAATGGGGCGCCGCATTTTTGTCCTTTTAGGGTAGGGGAGGGGGCCATATAGGTGCAGCTGGGATGGTCTGTAAAAGAAACATTGCGAGGCCAAGTGTATTGACTGTTTCTAATCGCTCGTCTTGGTGTTTGTGATCCACTTGAATCTTCTCTTGCGATCGAGAGGGCATCTGCTCAGAATGAGCTTCGGGCGGCCTCGCGCGGCTGGAGTAAAACGGGAGAAGATCTAGTGGGTGATGGTTGTCGTAGGGCTGCTCTATGTCAACGAGAAGCACAATAACGAGCGCTGGCTGCCGGTCGCTTCAGCGAAAAAAATAAAAAGGATGTCTTGACTTGTGTAAATGAGACAGCAGATGTTACTGATGATACTCTTACTCACGCGCATCAAGCGAATATTGACGTTGCGTTTTTACGCTGCCAGTCACGAGTGCCTTGCGACATGCGAGGTCCACCGGAGTTAGAGATGACGGGCCATAATCATTGCGTGCAGAGCAAACACAACTTTGCCCTTCTTCTTCTTCTTGGCCAGAAAGCATTTAACAGTTGACTTATTTTTTTGTGTTATTAATCGTGTGCTTGTAATATCACTTGTGACCTGATGGGGGGAGAGAGGAAGGGGAGAATGTGTAAGAGAGAGAGAGAGATAGAAGAAGAGATGGAGGCCGGCTTGATGATTGTGAGGGGTGGGTTACGGAGTTGGAAGAGGAGGGAGGGGAGAATGTGTAAGAGAAAGAGAGAGAGATAGAAGAAGAGATGGAGGCCGGCTTCATGATTGTGAGGGGTGGGTTACTGAGTTGGAAGGATGCAGTGGGTAAACTATCAGTGCGTTTGCTTTGGGAAGAGTTGGTGTGTTTAAGAAACAAAAGCAGACGTGCTCATGGCCTCGAATCGCCGCGAGTGCTTCACGCCTTAAACACACACGGCGACACTTTACACCATGGGTGTGCAAACCCAGCTTAATTCCCCGCAGATATTTTTAAACATATCATAAAGTGGAGCGTCAATTGCTCCTATCATTTCCCTGTGATCCTTTCTCCTCTGTCTCATGATTAAATGTAATAAACTGATGTAACAGGACGTGATCACATCACAGCCATAGCATGAAACGGAGCTCTCATAATTGGGGCAGTCGTTTCATCCATGTCTCTGCGTGTTCCGTAGCCATTTTCCTGTACGTTTTTTACACATCGCCTTTTCTTTAGCACACAAAGGAGTTATTGCAAAGTCAAACAGTGGGAGTTTGTCCCGTGCAAGAAGTCTTTTTTTTCCATCTCCATTTATTAATATTCAAGAAGAGAAAGAAGATAGAATGTAATAAAACGTTGATATTATGTGTCAACTTCTGTTCAATTCAAAGATTGCTCCCTCTCTTTCTCTCTCCAGTAGCAGTAGTGAGTAGAATTGAGAGCAGGGAAACCTACCTTTACAATTTTATAGAACACCTTACACATATGAATTTAAAATTTAAATTTGCATGTTTAACAATGGGTAAGTGATACTAATTCAACTGTTTGATAATCTCTATATTCACTGCTACCTTGTTGGGGGAAAATCATGACAAAACTCTGCATTAACTTTTAATAACCAGTGTATTGTGCTAGTACACAGAACAGTCGAGTCTAACCTCTTGCTATTGATGTTACAGGCCCCCAGTTTTTGCCTAACTCAATAGTCTGTTGAGCGTCATAGAGTTAGGCAATTCGGTAGATGTCTGTGTGTTGCCTTTTACAAATCAATATAGTGCCAGTAGCTGCCTCGGCCATTAATCATGATACTTGCTGTTTGTGATTGTGATTATCTTCACAATGAAATGACTTAAAAGATTGCTCTGAAAACTTTGTGTTGATACAAAATATAGGAAGGCAGTAAAAAATATTTTGGAGAGAAATAGATGCCTTTTATTTTGAGTGATTATATATATATATCCACATTCAAAGAGAAGTACATTAGGTAGCCCACCGTGCTTGCCGCTCAAAGAAATAGAATAAGAAAAAGTTATATTAGATGAATCAATTTGAATTTGAATATGATCATGAGTCATATGTACTCCTCACCCCCCCCCCCCCCCTCTCCAGTGCAAAACCGTATCCCTTCACTGAATGCTTATAGAGGGTTACGTTATTGGGCCCTAGGGAGGGGCTATTTAGGGAGGGGGTACAAGGTATTACCCCTTGGGAGGAAGAGTTTGGCAATGAAAGGGGAGACTGGCACCTTATCTTGAATCCATCAGTGGTCCGGGGGTCCCTCTATAGAGGATGTCTGTCCAGACCAAGGAATTATTTAACACAAATATTTTTGCGCGTTCAGATAACACAAATCCAAAACACCAATGCTCAGGTGTCAACCAAGTTTCTTTTCCTCCCGTTTAATTGCTTAACTTGCGTCCGAGACATCATAACCAAGCGTTTATTTGTCTCGGGGCAGACGGGCTTAGTCTAGTTGTGATCGGAACTGTTGCTTCTGCTGAGGTGCGCTTCTCAATCTCGAAAGGTGGAGAATATCTGAAGGCACTGTAACTGTCAGAGGATTTAGTTTTGCAATGGACCTTGGCTATTATTGGATGACTATCTGATGAAAGGTATCCTTGACTGTTTCCACTCACCTGCAAGTTCGCCGTTATCTTTGGGATGAATGGTTTTCCTTTTCTCCCTCCTTCTAAATGAGTCATTTCTCACTGATTGTGCAGATTATCATCCTTTCATTCATGTTGCTCAGTTTCTTCATTGAGTTATTTGATCTCATTGGCTTACATCCAAGTAACGACTTAACATTCACTATTGTTCTGTTAACATTCACATAGCATTGCTTCAAACCATCGCAAGATATTGTTTATTTCATAAGCCAGTTGGACAACCGCTTCAGTTTGCTGCTGGATGAAGAAAATACCGTACAGTACTACATTAATAATTCAGACAAGCAGAAAGGAGGCTTCAAGCATTTTGCTAAATGGATACGATGCTTTACAAATACTCATCATTACTATTATTATGACTTTCGTCAGCCTTCCATTACTACAGTAAAAGCTGAACCTTTCATGATATATCTGCGAGTGGTTCAGATTTACAAAAGTTTAATGCCATCATGATGGAATCACAACTGAGACACGCTGAATTTTGGCAATTTCCAAAGTTTCCTGCCCTCTAAATGGCTTTCATTTACTAATCACACAAGTTTTTGTCATGAAAGGTACAGGTTTTCACATTATGCAGATGATAGTATATGTCACATTTCTTCCTTGAAATTAATTATTATCTACTTCTTTCTCATTTTTTCATGTCCAGATCGTGGATGAGTTTGGGAAGGTGAAGTGCTGGGTGGATGCCAGCGAGCCAGGCACTGGAAACTGGATGAAGTACGTGCGCAGCGCCCCCAAGCTGGAGAATCAGAACATGGTACCAGTGCAGGTGGATGGAAAGGTGAGTTATCAAAGGACATTAGATTCCTGTTCTTGTAGAGTAGTTTATCCCAAGTCTTGTTTTGTTGTGATAAAAACCTTATAATTAGTAGAAAAATAGTGAAAAAGCAGCACAGGAAATATGGGGTTCTTTTTTTTAAATTCATTTTTTACTGTTTTCAACGCTTAATATATATTTTTCATCGATCTTTCGTTCAAATTCTTTGCCTAATTTTTTTTCCATTTTGATTTTATTCATGATTTCAAGAGAAATAGAACAAAAGCAGACTAGTTTTCTAGAAAATTCCATAAAAATTGAGAGAAAATAGCACAACAACAAAAATGTGCATGTGAGAACGACCAGGGAAGAAGATTCTTTAGTTAATAGGTTAATCAGAATTTCATGTAGTTTGTATTTTATTTTGGATAGTTGTATATTGGTGTTAATATATTTTTGGTTATATCTATAGAAGTTTCTTCCTCTAAATCCTCAGCAATATATTAGAAAGTAGACTTCAGCTCTTGTTTCAAAGAGCAATTTTGCAGTAGTCCTATTTGCCAACCTTGGTCATTTTTCTTCCCATCAAATTGTCTCGTACAATATTTAATCTAGTTGGCAAGATTACCAGTATCAATGAAAAAGGAAAAAGAAATGATAAATGATTCTTATTATACTGGTATCCTGGCCTTGGCATGAAGGTATATGGTAATTGCAATCCCACCATCTTAAGCCCTGGCTAAACCGATGACAGCTGTAGTGATAAAACGCCAAATGTGAAAGGCCTTGATTCTTGCATCATTCTCCAAATTCTTGAATTTTCTTGAAAATGTCTTGAATTAAGAGATAAGTGTGTTATACTTTATGATCCTATAAAATTAGAATGGGCAAATAAAATGTTCTAACTTCTAATAAAATCTAGTTATGGCAAAATATCTTCTGGAAGTTATTTGACATTGCAGGCAGTGGTACAGATGAACATTTAAGATAACACTTTATTTATTTTATCCAACATCCGTCATTTTTGTCAAATGATCTCATTCTCCTCATTTTACCTCATCCACTTTTCTTCATTTTGCACATCATATGAGCTCTTGTAATTATCTCTCGCTTCTAATTAATAATATTTGTGTTGTAGTCACACTCGACAACCATTTTCTTTATTAATACATCTTGAGAATACTTACATGTACTTTACATCAGTTTTGAATTTTCCAATGTAAATCTTGCTTTAATTTTTTTTTAATTATCCAATAGCGCATACAATGTTATATACACATATCCTTGTCCTTTTAACATAATTTTGTTGCCCTTTTATACATGTAAATGCTTTTCTCCATATTTTGGTTGTCCTATAACCGTTAAAAACAAATTTGTTGGTTGTCCTATCCAAAACATGTGTTAAAATAGGTTGTATAGCTGAATGAAGGAAAGGGTTCTAGGGAAGACTTTCATGAGCAGTTGCCTGTCATAATCGGCGCAGCGCCAGGAGCGTCACAATGTGAAGGACATGTGCGCTATATAAGAAGCCACCATTATTTTTTAATTATTATTATTCCTCTTCATTTTGCAGGTTTACTACAAAGCCATTCATAACATAGGTACAGGTGAGGAGCTATTGGTACTCAAGGATGCAGCCTTTCCTGATCAAGAAGGCAACCCAATACAGATCATAGGTAATTTATTAGCCATCTCAAATACTGTTTTGATTGTATGAGGGGTAAAAGGAAAACATCGAAAGCAAGCATAAAACTCAAGATATCTACCAAAGTATGATCCAAAAAAGATGTAATATGTAAGACAGTTTATACTAGTAAGAATCAGTAGTATATGCTGTCTAAAATTATAACTTCCACATACTTTCATTTCCACTTTGGAAATCAATAAGAGTCAGATGGTATGTTTGGGCTGAAGCTGAAAAAAAACTCTTACAGTTTGTGAAGATATGGGCATTCTCTTATCTTAGGTGAATTCATCTTCAAACTTTCTAAAGGTGATTATTTCTAACACTTTATAAATAGAAAAAGAAAAAAAAAAGAAAAAGAAATACAAATACGTATTTTATTCAAAGCTTTTTCAAGTTGAGTACAATTTGCATATTATTTCTTTGTCTTGCAGAAGAGAAGCAGTACGAGTGCGACAAGTGTGAATGTACGTTCAGGTCAAAGGTCGCTTTGCGAAGGCATCAGAAGTACGCCTGTAACAACGCCAACGCCATCTTCTCCACCCTTAACCAAGAGTTCAAAGGTAAAAGCAGAAACATAGAATTTGACCAATTGTAACAAAAAAAATTATGATTTAAACTGTTGAATACAAAGCCTGATATAGCTAGGAGTGGATGTCATGAAAAATGTGCATTATTTCAAAATTAAATTGTAACCAGAAGGTTGAAGGAGAGCATAGGGTTTTATGTGATAAGGAAAAAACTGGGACCGTCTAAAAACTAAAAAACTCTGAATTAATTTAGGAAAATGAAGAGTAATTTATTAAATTGGAAATGTGCAGGAGCAACTAGAAAGATTGTGTAGAAATGAAGTAGAGAAAAAGAATATCATGTACTTCTATATTATCAGAGCATGATATGAAATGCGTTTCATGGGTTCATGCGTAGGAATAAGACAAACAAATACACACACATTTATGTGCTTTCTAGGAGAAGCAATGAGGGGAAAGCACCTGACACACACACTGTCTAGAAATAGCAATGAGATCATAGGTGGGTGGGCACATGCCAAGAGAGAGAGAGAGAGAGAGAGAGAGCGTGTCTCATCTGCCCTTCTTAATATCATACCCTATCTAAAGCAAACACATTCCCGAGAACAAACAAGCAGATATAGAGCTCCGAGGTGATAGAAGGTGTCGGAGATTAAACAATGGTGTTTGCTCGACAACGAGACCTGGCCCTTCTTTATTATCAAATTTGAAATGGAATAAACTAACAGAGGAGGCCGTAAAACAAAGGGCCCATACCAGGGATGTGCTGTCGACGTCGCGCGTCAAATTACCGGCTCGTGCTGCACCTTCTTTTTGTTCCAGCGTGCTGTATGTCTAGTGTTAGGATCATTGGTATTGAGTGTAAGGTGTGATATTTGTATTAGCAAAAGATATGGGATCATGGCTTGAAGATGATAATGATAATGTAGGTTTTGCATGAGCTTGCCTTTATGCACATTATCAAAAACCACCTCCTTTTTCTATAAGTTCATGGTGATGCAAGCATTCAATTTTTAAAGTATAGACAAAAGAGGGAATGCAAATAATGCTCTTTTTATTCAGTTTGTCACTTCCAATTGAGTTAGATTTATATCTGATTGTGACATGGAAATGAACTTAGGAGTTTGAAGTCTTTCCTCTTACATCAGTCTTTTATAAACAAATCTTTCACTATGTTTACATTAGTTACAGAAGAAATTTTCAAGTAATTTCAGAATGAAGTTTGAAAGGTTAGGAATGCAAATGTGTGAAGTATATTTGCAAGTTTGCTTGTTTGTTTTCTCGTTAGTCTGTCGTTTTTATTGAATAATGACACAATTTCTTTCAAAGTTTGGCATAATATATGTAATGAGTTGAGCTATCAATGTTTCTTTTTTTTTGTCTTTCTCAGCCAACGCCGCGATGGAGAGTAGCAAACCAGTGACAGATGAGAGTTGTGCCAATTCAATGTCAGAGTGTTCTGATGAGAAGCAAGAAGACCTAGAAGGCAGACAGAATGAAGAGTTTTCCTGCAATGAATGCGGTCGAAGCTTCCACTGGAAATCGGATCTGATCAAGCACCAGGCAACCCATTACGGCGACAGGATGTATCCCTGCGAAAACTGTGGAAAGTGCTTCTCGGATCCCAGCAACCTGCACCGCCACATTCGCTCGCAGCATGAGGGCGCCAGGAGCCACCCATGCCCGGAGTGCGGAAAGACTTTTGCAACGTCCAGTGGTCTGAAGCAACACACGCACATCCACAGCAGCATCAAGCCATTCACCTGCGAGGTGTGCTTGAAGTCCTACACCCAGTTCTCCAACCTGTGTCGGCACAAGCGGATGCACGCAAACTGCCGCACCCAACTCAAGTGTGCCACGTGTGGTCAGACGTTCTCCACGGTGACCTCACTGAACAAGCACCGCCGCTTTTGCCACAACGCTCAGGTGTTCAACAGCCAGCTCAACACCTCCATCAACGCCTCTCATAACAATCCAAGCTCTGGTGTTCTCTTGCGTGGCAACGCCCCTCTCCTTGGAATGCCACCCACTAGCGCCCTCTATCAGGCTGGCCTTGCACAGATGTGGAATGCCAATCTACACCTCTCCCAACAAGCCTTGATGCAGAATAACCTTCTCTCCAGCTCAGGCAACACCAATGGTGTCATCAGGGGACCCTACCCTCTAAGCTACCCATCCCTTGCAGCTCACCCTTCACTCTTGGCCGGAAACCTTACCCCATCTGCTCTTGCTTCGGCTTCAGAGAGTGCCAACAAGAATGCAAAAGGGATGTCAACAGAGGAATGGCTTCAGCACTACACAGTGGGTGCAGGAAGGGACCAGGAGGGGAAGGGTCTATGTAGAAGGATCAAGATGGAGAGGGAAGATAGTGACGAGAGTGAAGCCTCGGTTAGCACTCCATGTGGAAGTGAGCTGGACTGCAGCTCATACAGTGATATTGAAAGCGAAGCTGACATGGAGATTACCAAGGCAAAGAGAGTAGCTGAATTTGTCAAGAAAGAAAATCCAGATGAGGGGGGAATAAAGGAATGTGGAAATGCATCACCTGCAGCAAGTGAGTTGCCTTTTATGAAGAATGGAAGCAGTGAGCCCATCAAGGCTATCGCATCTATTGCAGATAGATACTTCAGTACCAGTCCTACAGGTCTAGGATATGGTCTTCTGAAAATTGACCCCGTAGCAAGGTTGGGCAACAGTCACTCACCACCAAGTTTCAAGAAGATAGACTGTCCGGTCAAGAAACTTGAGTCAACCTTTGACCCATCCAGGAACCTGCTAAAGCCGCACAAGCCTGAGGAAAGGAAGTTGAATGATCAACCTTTGGACCTGAGTGTCCCTAGACCAAAGACCAAATCCTCGGATCTTCCAGACAAAGAAGAAGGCCACCTGAGGAGACCACACATCTTTGGTATCCCTTCATCGCTCCTTGGCAAGACAGCAGACATCCCTGTTAGTATGGCCTTCTCCTACCCAGGAGGACTCCCTATTACCATGGACCCCATGTACAGGGTTCAGAATGGCCTTGGCCCTCCTCCAGACAAATACCAGCGGATGGAGAATGGAGAGAAGGTTCCTGCTGTCCCGATTCCTCTACCTCACTTCCCTCCCATCCCTAAGATGGATTTCTATGCTGCCAATAAGAATCTCATGAAGTTTCGAGGCCTTCCTGCCCACCAGGCGTATGCTTTGAGCAGCACCATGATGTATTCAGGGTCCACTCCATCTGACAAGATGGTCATCCGCAGCAAGGATCGCTACACCTGCAAGTACTGTGGCAAACTCTTCCCTCGGTCAGCCAACCTCACCAGGCATCTACGTACTCACACAGGAGAGCAGCCGTACTCTTGTAAATACTGTGACCGATCCTTCAGCATCTCCTCCAACCTTCAACGCCACGTTCGCAACATCCATAACAAGGAAAAACCTTTCAAGTGTCCGCTCTGTGATCGCTGCTTTGGCCAGCAGACCAACCTTGACCGCCATCTCAAGAAACACGAGAGTGAAGATTTCTCAGGAGATTCTCAGACCCCAGAGAAGGTAAACGGCGAGGACAGACCGCTCCCATTGAAGAAGAGCGACGATTGGTCTGATGAGCTCAGTGAGAAGGATGAGGCCTACTTTACCGAGATCAAGAATTTCATCGGAGTCGCTGAGATGAAAGCTAGAAGGGACCTCATGTTGAGAGAGCAAGAAGAAAAAATGGCCATTGACAGGAGCAAAGACGACATTGAAAAAGAGGAGGGTGCCTTTCTAGAAAGGGATTCTGAAGAGGGTGGTCTTGAAGAAGAGAATCAACAACAGGAGATCAAGCTCAAGTTGAAGCTCCCCTTCCAGAAATCTTCCGATCCTTCCAAGGTCATGATGGAAACTGACCTTTACCACGACGACGAGGACGACATCATCCCTCGAACACCAGACTCTGAGCAAGACATGCAGTCGGACGATGCCATGTCCGTGTCCGAATACCAAGACGATGATGACAAGGACGACGATGCGTCATCAACGGCTCGCCCGGACAGCCTAGGAGGAGATGAGGAGTCTGGGGATCTTGATAGGTCACGACTGAATGGACGACACCCAAAGCTCCAAGCATACTCCATCATGATGGCTCTATCAGAGGACGAACGTAAGAAGAGCATCCTATCCAAGGGACAGCCGTTGCTCTGCCCTCCTCAACAAACTGCTGCTGTCATCTAAAGTTTCTATCTTTGATGTTGCTCCTGCTTGAAAATCTTTCCCTTTACCAGGTGATATAGACATTTGCTTGTATTAGATTAAAGCTTTTTCCCAAAGTTCAAGGATTTGGATTGAGAAATTAACTCCTGATTTCTATAAATAAACTTTCAACATTAGTGAAATGGTAGTTGACTTTTTTTAAAGGTTCGTTAAAGCTTTAGTTTACTATGAGTAGTAATAATATTTAGAAAACTGATTTTCTATTTGAAAAAGCATAAATGCCATCATTGTTGATGAATTTATGAAGTTATATGTAATTAATTGATTGTACTCAATTACTATCCTCATCAAAACCATTGCCAATTTGATTGACATTGTATCTTTGTGATATTGAAATTCCCCGACCACATAGTCTTTGTTTATAATTGAAATATGTTTGGCTGAATAGTAACTGAAATGTTTACTGGGAACAACAAAATATTGAAATAATGTTTCAAGGCTGATCTCTTTCCCAAAGGAATTATAAAATATCTACCAAGGCAGATATTGTGGTATAACATGCTTAAAATCGTGTTTGGAGTTTCTCCATTATATCATAGTTTACACTGGTGTTTGAACCAAAAGCCTTGAATCATTAGAACTTAAAACATTTTCCTCACATTAACTATAATGTTATATATTGCTGTGAGGGCTATAATGGGACTCATATTGTGTTTGACAATCAGATTTCTGTGTATTCAAAATGACAAGGAAATTTTGTATTCCATTTATTCATTTTCCTAAAATGGCTTCATCAGAATTATTGTGACTTTTATTATATTTAATGAAATTGTAAATAGGGAAGCGATGACAAATTTGCCATGTTCAATGTTTTTGCTGTATATATTACTATTTATTAGGAAGGAGAACGAACGGTATTTGCATAATGCTTCTGTTTATTTGTATGTAAGAAAAATGTATCAGTGTGTTGCCAATTTGACCATCTCTACTGATCTTGTTTAATTGTGCCAAATGAATCAAAAGGAAATGTCACTGACCCTTTCTCGATCACATGGAAATCAGAGATTTATTCCAATGAATTAAGAGAGATAATCTATTTGCAGAAAACATATTATAGGGAAATATATTGTAGTTCAATTATAGCTGAAATGTGACTATGTATTCAAAAAAAGTGCTCTTTGATACAAGTTTTAAAAAAGTGCCTTTTGACATATTTCTTTATTGCGCAGTAAATTATGATTTTTTGTTGTTGAACTAATTCTAAAAAATCTTGCTGCCAGGGAATAAGGTTTTAATAAAGCAAACAGAAGAAAATGTCTAAATCAACACCTCATAATGATGAGCGTGCAAAATTACAGATTGATATTATTCCATAGGTAAAGTGGTTTACTTGTAAAATCATGTAATTTCATCAACTCATGCATTTTGTTATGCCAGTGTTTGTCTAACACACCAAGGAATAAATGCATACTTTTCTCAATATGTTTTAGCCTATGCTTTAAGAACAACTATGAAATGTCCTTAAACAGAGCTTACATTAACTGGCTATCTGAGTCAATTTGAAAGATGTTGACTTAAATTCCTCATATTCTCAAGAATTGTTGAGCTAAGTATTCTTTGAGAGGGCCATTAATTTAAAAGAAACTTTAAAAAAAAAGAGTATTCTTACTAAGTGAAAAGAAGATAGAGAGAGGCTTGGAAAACCTGTCGTTCTACTTCTTCACTTTGAAGTGAAACAATCAACAAATTTTCAATCGAACAACATTTTTATCTTTCTTGATATCTGTGTGAAATTAAGTAAAGTGTATTCAGAAAGAGAGGTTTATTAATTCTGCATTTAATCAAATTGAATGGTATACCATAAAAATTTTGATTGATATTAAATGATTTTGATATTGAAGTTAATCAAAACATGGATCAAACATTGAGCTGTAAGATTTATTTTTCTCCTAATACAGGACGGTTAAGGAAGAAAGCAGTTGTAACAAGCATTGATATTAATGGGTAGTTGAATATTCTTGCCTCCATATTTTTGTTTATTTGTTTGTTTCCATAATGTAACAGTAAGACAATTTGAAATGTGTTTCTTTGAGGGCTGTGAGAGGTTGTGCTTGTATGCCATAATGATGTAATATATTTAATATATGATAGAATACAGTGGACATGTTATGGAAAAAATTGAAGATATTGTGAAAGAAATTTCATTAAAAGATTAACTTTTCTTGGAAGTGCCCCTCTCAGTTTTAGCATTAATGTATTCTGTGCTATCTATTTGCCGTCTGTCCTTTTTTGTGGCAGTTTATGTTATGGATTTTTTGTGCTTGGAGTTAGCTGTAAATATTTTGTGTCGACACGAGTACCAGAGAATTTTATGCGTCACTTTTTATAAAACTGATATAGTTTTACGACTCATCATGTATATAAATTATGGTCACAACAGGTGAATTTTTTCTTTCTTTTGGAAGTGGAGTTTCTTACATTTGTATAGAACATTTTGTGCTTGCTTATACAAGGTCTCTACGTGATGTGCTTTGTAATCAAAAATGTTATTTTTGTGTGTTCTTCAGATTGGACAACTCAAGATTATGTAGATGGCTGCGACATTCCAGTTTTTTGTAGAGTATTTATAGGTAGTATGGTATACTGCACAAATGGTCTTGCATTATATTCCTTTGGACTCTAGTTAGTTTTCATGTTTAGATCTTAATGATAGAATGGACATTTCTTCTTTTAGATATGTTTTAATTGATATTTGAATGGTAGTGTAGCTAGCATTTTGCAGCTCATTAAAACAAAAATGTATCGCATGTTACATTTTGATGATTCGTTTTACCTAAAGGATTTGTAAAATATTTTTCTTCTTTTTATGACTATTCATGCATTTTTGTTTAATTTTATCATGTAGTAGGCAAATTAATTTGGCATTGTGTCTTATGTATCATTCCAATGAAGCATTTTACAAGTGAGTCTGCCGCTTGATGAATATATTTAGAAAGAGAGAGAACAAATAACTATTCCACTGGCTATTAAACTCATTTTCTGCCCTTGATAGAAGTATACATTCATATATGTCGTTGCCTTTGTGTATATATTTATGTACATTTTGCCGTAGTACAAATTCTAAAGAGACAATCATTTTAAAGAAAGAGATGAGACAAATTGTGAATATTTTCCTTGATTAATGATTCAGATAATGTGTTAGAGATGCTTGTGGAGATTTAATTGGATGACATCAGACAATGGATATTATGAAGTTATATCATATGATATTTTTGTACAAAATGTTGTAATATGTAGATGCCAGTGTAGTAAGTATGGTATTATGTCCCAAATGTCGAGTTGGTAACTAGAAGCTTGAACGCAAAATAGAGCATACTTTTCATAATAATAAACTTATACGTAAGGTTATAACAAGAAATGCTGAAATACAAGAGATGTATACAACTCATAGGAAACCTTGCAATTTACAGTGTAGTAATTACTTATAACACTATAATTACGAGTAATGCTGTTTTAGCAAAAATCTCTAAATTCTCATTTTCTAATTGGCGAGTGGTTTCATTTGTAACAAATACTAGGACTCTGCTTTTGAATTCAATGTGCGTAACTTGTATGTTTGAACAAATAACTCTGCTCTTAACTAATCACCCATGATTGCTCTATTTACCCTATTGTGCCATCGTAATTATCTCATCGAATTATGGGAAGTTTTTGCAGCTCCTTCTCTTGTGTAGTTAAATCTTTATAACCGTGTTGATGAAGAACCGTTCAATCGTTCAAATAAAGCCAGTATGGCTTGGAGTAAGTGATACACCACTGATGTTGATCAATGTAGAAATAGAATACACCCACCGTTGTTGTTTGTCATCAGCTAGAGGATTACTGCTGACTAATATCATATTAATAAAAGAGAGGAAAAAAATCATACTTCATGAAGAAATTGAGTTTTCTTTGGTTTATTTGATATTCGCTCTCTACACGTCTCTTCACGTCAATCCTATGACATTTATGTGTCTTTTGGAATGGATATAATTGCGGGTTTCATTATGTGCGTGATACGTGTTAGGTGGTGAATGAGAGAAAGTGGTAATTCGTGGGCATTGCTGAATAGGTCTATTCAACAATTCCACTTCACGGCCCGACACGTTCTATCCAATTTTCACCACATATCCTTTTCTTCTTGCCCATCTTTAAAGCAGGATGCTATTTTTCTCTTCTATCTTACAATTTTCGGTGAGAGAGAGGGATAGAGAGAGCGAGAGGGGGGAGAGAGAGAGAGAGAGAGAGAGAGAGAGAGAGAGAGAGAGAGAGAGAGAGAGTAATAATTTATGAAGAAAATATTTTAGAATCAGACCATAAAGTAATTAGCGGCTTGAGGAAAATCTTTTTTGAAAACGCTTCTTTTACAAAATAGTGACGAATTCTAGACACCTACAGTACAAGGTAAAAACTGATTTGTCTTTAATACAAAATTTAAACTACGGAGAGTGAAGCAATAAGCGTGTTTTTAAGTATGAAAATTCGACAAAAGAGATTTATGATTGGAGATTTGCAAACTTGATTAAGTGTTCATAGCGGAAGACTGTATAACGATAGGTGATGATCGCGTACAAAAGACTAATTGTGATGCAGATGTCTATTTAATGGCCGTGGTTTTGAGATGATAAGCGGTTTAGATGACGATGATATTGTCGATGATGATGATGATATTGTTGATGATGGTGACCACGATGATAATGGCGATGATGATGGTAATGTCGATGAGGATGATGATAGTGACGATGGTAATGTCGATGAGGATGATGATGGCGATGATGGCAATCACAATGTTATTGATGATGGCGATGGTGATGATGGTGATGATTTTGATGATGGTAATGGCGACGAGGATGATTGTGATGATAATGATGATTGTGATGATGTTGACCCCCCCCCCCTCCCTTCTCTCTCTCTCTTTCTTTCTACCCGTCTCCATCCTCCCCGTTTATTGTCCACCCTTTCCCTCTCTCTTCTTTTATCTGTTATATCTTACTTTCCTTCTCTTTCACCTCACTCCTCGAATTTTCTTCCCCTTTATTAATTTTTTCTTTCCTTTTTTTCTTACCTTTTGTTTTCTTTCTTGATTTCATTCTTTATTATCCTCCTTTGAAACCCATCCCTTCCACATAGTGATATTTGCATTTATTTTAACCTATCTATGATTTCCTTAACATTTCTATTCTTTGTCATTACCCCCCCCCCCCCTCCCCCATTCCCTTACCTCCTTTTTTTTATCTATCATATTTTAAAACTACAGTAGGCCTATCGAGAATGGAGCGCCCTGAGTTATTAATCAGTTATCAGTTTTTACCTGTAATATTATTCTGGAAACGTGGTGTTTCTCTTTTGTATATGTTCTTAACGTATCATTAGTTATCTTAATGCAAGATGATTAAGAAGAAGGTTATCTTTAGATCATAAAAACACGACATAATATTATAACCAATGTTTCTCTCGTTTTTGTCCCCGTTTTTTTTCCTCGACACGCGTTTGCACGTGGACGCTATAGTACACAAAGAGAGGGAGAAATACACTTTAAAAAAATAAATAAATACTAACACTCCAAAACACTTCATTGCTATTCTGAAAATAACATTTATTTCCCAAAAGAAGAAAGGAATATTTTGGCAAACATAATGAGAAACAATTAAATTTCAAGATAGAATGGAAAAATATCTCAAAGAATAATATGTTTTCCTCCATTTTAATCGTAGAAGAATACGTTCATAACCGTTTAAATCTACCTGTAAACCCTTTCGAAATGCTATGTAGTTAGTATACTCCACGATTCATAATATTTATAGGCTCATTGATAAAGAGTACACCAGTTTGATGTTGGGCTATTTTGACCGTAGCTGGCAGTAGACCGTATATGACAATAGACACATGAGGTTCTATTTAATGTCACTCTGGATATTTCGAAACTATATCACTTCTTTCTCTTTCTTTCCTACTTTCTCTTTCTCTCTCTCTCTCTCTCTCTCTCTCTCTCTCTCTCATCTCTCTCTCTCTCTCTCTCTCTCTCTCTCACACACACACACACACACACATACACTCTCTCTCTCTCTCTCTCTACACACACACACACACCCACTCTCTCTCTCTCTCTCTCTCTCTCACACACACTCTCTCTCTCTGTTTCTCTATCTCTTTTCCCTCCACTCCATCTCTCTTCTCATTCTTTTCCACTCGTCCAGTCACCCCATCCTCCCCCTCTCTCCCCCTCTCTCCCCACTCCCCCCTCCCCCTCTCTCTCTATTCCTCTTCCTCTCCCTATTTCTATCTCTCCCTCTCCTCTTGAAAAAGGTCAACATCTTTATTCTTCCACCGTTGTTCTAAGACTTAGCAACACATAACGTCAGTTGATAATTAAAATAGAGGCATTATTTCTTCAACGAGATTTAAAAAAAAAGATATTCAGAAATCAGTCAAATCACGAGACACAACATGCGTTAATCATTAAATCATTAATGTTGTGTCCTTGCCAGAGAAATATTTGGTTGGCCCAATTAATGTGTAGCTAGCTTAAAAAGGAGGAGCTGCACCAAGTAAAAGCTCTGCTTATTGATAGCTCCCTTCTCTTTATCATTGTGGTTTTTATTGTTGTACATAATATATTACATTACTGCGATTTATTAGTTATGATTGAAAAATAAACCGAATGAATGATTCGTATGCCACTGTTCAGAAGTGTTTGGCCAGCCCACTCCGGGTTAGGCACAATATGGTGAATACTGCCTTGATGGAATGGGTAAGCAAAAAGACACAACATAATATACGCTAGGTTGAGACAACTAACATCAAATTGGCCAAACTCTGTGCATCGATGGCTCTGGGTGACCTAGGTGTAATAGCGCCATCTCCAGACGTGTCTGACACATTACCACAAATCATTTAAAAACTATAAAGGAAAAGAGAGATATTTTGTAGTTCTGGACTGTGAAAGTTAGTTTAAAGGCAAAGACCAGTTATGGTCATGCGATTGCATTGTGAAAGAAACGTTGTGGAATCGATCAGAAAAGGTTGATCATCTAGCATTTAGCATCTGCAAGGTTCTGGAATCATCAAAATGATAAGAAATTTGCCCCATTCTTCGTAAAGTTACAAGCACTATACACAGAAAGATGTATATGGGACTACCCTATATCTCTCACAGACCATGAGAGAAATAAATTAATCAAATATATGAATTAGTAGGCGGTTTCCCGGCAAATTTGTTATCATCATGTATTGGTCAAAACATATTCTTTCACATGATTGGTAATGAGAGCTTCCATTTCATTTTTTGAAATTGGGCATTTCCAACTGGTCTTTACCTTTAATTCCGGTCGTTCTGACTGAATAAAATCAATAAAGTATATATATATATATATATATATATATATATATATATATATATATATACTAGTGGAACCCGTGGAAATCGGACACTGATAGTGTATTGAGATTAGGATAGGGGGGGGGGGTAGGGAGCATGTGAATCGTGCAAACCAAATATTGGGGGGGGGGGGGATCATTTCTTCAAATTTTGAGAGAAATAAGATGTCTCAATTTGTAATTTCAATGTTAAAGGTAATACAAAGTTTTGGGAAATTTTGATAATTGGGTGGATAGTGATTCTTCACAATTTTGATATATTTGGATGCCCCTGTGGATGTATTATCACTAATCACTAAAAAATGTAGCCCCTAAAACACTTCTGCTTTTGAGAAAAATTGAATATACAAATTAACCGGTGCTCCCGGTAAATTTCAAAAAATTCAAATATCGCCTACGGCCGTACAATGGTAGCTGCGACCATAAATGTCTCAGAATATGTAGTTGTGATACATAATTTCCAAACGGAAATAGCCAATCGGTCGAGTTTAGTCAAGAAACATTGTTCTTGGGGGGAGTTTGGGGTTAATCCCCCCCTTGATTTTTTTTAATGTGTATATTTTGTGTATGTATTTTGGGAAACCCCCGCCCCCTTTTGATTTTTCTTTTTCCTTTTCTTTTTTAAATTAAAAATTAAAACTTTAAAAAAAAAAGATTAAACAAAAAATTATGCCAATGGCTGACCTAAAAAAGTGTCCTCTTACCCCCCCCCCCCGCTTATTCAGCGATTGGCTGAGTCGTTGCGATTTTAGGGGGACCAAAAAAAAAGAGTGTCCTCTTACCCCCCCCCCCCCCCCCCCCCCCCCCTCTTATTCAGCGGCTGGCTGAGTCGTTTTTTTGGCCCGATTTAAAAAAAAAAAACCTTGAAAAAATCCTGCGTACGTCACTGCTCGAGAGGAACATTAACATCTAACATCTAACATCTAACATCTAACATCTAAAATAAAATAAAATAAATAAATAACGGCGAGCTTTGGGGGAGGGGTTCTACACCGACTCTTCGTTGAACGCCCCCTAGTTGCAATAGTTTAACCTGCGGGAAGACATGGCTCTTGAGCGAGTATTCCAAACAAACCTAACATAGTTTTGGAATCACAGGGCCTCATAGACATCGACGCCAGCCGATAAACATACCAGCTATGGATCTTCAGAACACGACGAACTACATGAATGTGACCGGCGAGGCAGGAGGCATCCCGCCCGGGCCTCCGGCGTACGTTGAGCACCTCAAGATCGCCAATCAAGTGGTGATCGCAGTAACTTTCTCCATTGTTCTCTTCGCCATGGGTGCTTCGATCACGCCGCAGAATTTTAAGATAGTCGTGAGTCAAATGTTCTAAATTAGTATTTTGTTTATCACCATTTAAATCAACAACAAATTGATGTGTTTTTCAACTGAACTATCAATTTGTTATTGCATGTAGAAGGTTTGGCTTGGCTTATACTTCCATCTAATGAAATAAAAGGAGATAATATATATATATATATATAATATTCATAAATGCTTGATCCTGTTTTTGTTGCAAGAAAATGACCTATTGGCTATCTAAATCAAGAAGATTACCGTTTGTTTAGGATTCAAAAAGAGATTTTTTTTTTACTTGTTGCTTCGTTTTTCTTTTCTTTTTCTTTTGTAGTCTTCTGGCAAACGCACATATACACAATCGAGATTAATGATTAATAACAAATGCCATGTTTTAGACAAATATTTCACTCAGAGTTTGATTGTTTTTATGAACTGTCCATGTCTATTTAGATTTACCTGTTTTGTTAGGCCCCAAAAGTCGAGTAGGCCTATTTGATTTATGAAAATCTTTTGTGGCGGAGCCGTGGTATAGTGATTCATTCATTCACTGTATTTGACTCTCAATCCAAGGGCTGAGGGTTCGAATCCTAGCCTGGCAGGACACCCCCTCCCCCCCCCCCCCATACTCCATATAAATGCATAAAAAGAACGATTTATATCTTTCATAATTTGCGAATTCGGTTCTGGAAGTGAAAGAAATAAATAGTTCAATTTTGGAAACAACAAAGATTTGACTACAGTTATTCTACCGAGGACAGTTAAGGTTCGTTTAGACCATGAAATAATTTGGCGTTTTATATCTTTAATTTTTTCAATATAATTATGATTTACCATCTCTACTAAGTTAACCGAAAAATCTATTCCTAAGTATCTCAAATAACCTTCTGATACCCAATTTAATTTGTGCTCTGGCATTAGCTGTTTTTTGCAGGCTCTATTTTTCCCAATCCATATCACATGAGTTTTTGTAATATTGATCTTTAGGTTTGACATTTCTTCAAAATCACCCAATATTTTCAGTGAGCTCTGAAAATCTTCTTTTGTACCGTTAAGTGTCAAAATGGTATCATCTGCGTATTGTAGTAGTTTACTATTTTCCCCCTGTAGATGCAAGCCAATTAAATCATTGGAATGTCTAATCAAAATTCCTAATATTTCGCTAACAAGTAAAAACAGGTATGGAGATATTGGGTCTCCTTAACGACACCCTTGTCCTATATTAAATCTTTCTGTGCAAAAACCATTTACTGTGACACAAGAAGAAGCATTTTGATAAAATGGATGAATCCATTTTTTCAGGGATGGCCCAAAATGAAAAAAGTCAAGAACATTGATTAGAAACTTGTGAGGTATACAAAGTTGCCAGCAGTTCCGCGGTGATGATCTCGTGACTCAAACGGATTATTATTATAAGCTGGGTATTCCGTGATTTCCCGGTGTGAAAAATGAGTTATTCTTGGGTGTCTTGATGGCTTCACAGTTACCATTTAAGTTCCGTGGTGATAATCCCGTGACTGTTGGCATATTTCTATTTTCACCAGCTGATAACTGACTGTTGGCATATTTTCATTGCACCAGTTGATAACTGGTCTGTGTGCATATTTCCAATTGCACCAGTTGATGACTGACTGTTAGCATATTTCCAGTTGAACCAGCTGACACCAATTAATTTGCATATTGAATATGGGGTGCGTGCAGATCTATTTTTTTTATAACAATTTATCTGAATTTACAGTATATTTCTCAATTCCTGATGATTTAGTTATATGCAATTCATTTCGAAAATACTACAAATATAAATTACCAGTTATTAGGACATTTCGCTACTTCGTATAAATTACATTTCATTAAACATGAATAAGGGAAACATTAACTATGAACTAAAATACTTTCAATAAAATACAAGTATATGACAAAATTTCGATTAATTAAATTATGTAAGTCTACTTATTACCAATGCCTTTACATTGGAAATACAGATGTACCAGATTTGAAGTAGTGTAGCCGTTCAACTGGTTGGAAGTTTTACCAAATGGTTCTAATGGCTCAGCTAGGCCAGTTGAATTCTAACTGGCCTGGATCATTTAGCCCATTTCAATTTCCAGGGTTACCAGTTCTGGGATGTTTGCACCCACCCCTACCCCACCCCCTCTAATCCCAAACTACTTCCGGGGCGCCTGGACGTAATTATGAAAGATCCAAAACACGATGTTCAGAAACGGGATGAGAACGTCATTATTTTGGTTCATTTATTGTGTAGCATTTGCGTAAGTATTGGGTTGAACGCGGGTTACAGTAACATATTTCCTCTTCGACGTAAATTTCACGTGAATGAAGAACATGATTCATCTCAAGTCAGCCTCGTTATATTCACGTGAATTTCACGCAGATATTTTGACTAAAACTATCACTAACGCTTCACGTGTTTCTGTGACGCGATACTTTCGTTTATGAAGATGTAATTTCATAATCAAACAAAACGGGAGTATTAGGTTTATAAACCATGGTCTCCAAGGTAGGGATAATCACGTTATTATAACGGTGATATTGCAGTGACAATTGCGTGATTTAGTGTACGTGTGTTTTAAGTGACCTAGTGCAATACACGTATTAACACATTTACGTAAATATCAGGTGTTTGAAGAACGTAACTCTCCTCAAGTCGATACCTTGATATTGACGTGATTTTCACGTGATTTTGTTTATTGGGACAGTAATGTTCATTTTTTTTGCTGTGTATTTCCCTCGGTTGAAGTTCATGTTGTTATGCAATATGTATTCGAAATTCATTTTCCAAACTCTTTTCTTCTTCCTCTTTTTACTTTCCTTCTTTTCGTCTGTTAACATAACCTTTCCATTTTCATTCCATCTACTCTTTTTCATATACCTTATCCAAAATTTATCTTTCTATGCTGTCTCGCTATCATCACCCTTCGTTTTCCATTTTCGCTCTCACTCATTATTTAACCCCTTCCCTCCCTTAAACGATATATTCCATTTTCTTCTGCTCTTCCTTGTGCTTTGACTTCTGATTCTTTATCCTCATTTTCATCTTCCTCCTCCTATCACTACTCATTTTCATCTTCCTCCTCCTATCACTACTCATATTCATCTTCCTCCTCCTATCACTTCTCATATTCATCTTCCTCCTCCTATCACTACTTATTTTCATCTTCCTCCTCCTATCACTACTCATATTCATATTCCTCCTCCTATCACTACTCATATTCATCTTCCTCCTCCTATCACTTCTCATATTCATCTTCCTCCTCCTATCACTTCTCATATTCATCTTCCTCCTCCTATCACTTCTCATATTCATCTTCCTCCTCCTATCACTTCTCATATTCATATTCCTCCTCCTATCACTACTCATATTCATCTTCCTCCTCCTATCACTTCTCATATTCATCTTCCTCCTCCTATCACTACTCATATTCATATTCCTCCTCCTATCACTTCTCATATTCATCTTCCTCCTCCTATCACTTCTCATATTCATATTCCTCCTCTTATCACTACTCATATTCATCTTCCTCCCCCTATCACTACTCATATTCATCTTCCTCCTCCTATCACTACTCATATTCATATTCCTCCTCCTATCACTACTCATATTCATCTGCCTCCTCCTATCACTACTCATATTCATCTTCCTCCTCCTATCACTACTCATGTTCATCTTCCTCCTCCTATCACTACTCATATTCATATTCCTCCTCCTATCACTACTCATATTCATATTCCTCCTCCTATCACTACTCATATTCATCTTCCTCCTCCTATCACTACTCATATTCATATTCCTCCTCCTATCACTACTCATATTCATATTCCTCCTCCTATCACTACTCATATTCATATTCCTCCTCCTATCACTACTCATATTCATCTTCCTCCTCCTATCACTACTCATGTTCATCTTCCTCCTCCTATCACTACTCATATTCATATTCCTCCTCCTATCACTACTCATATTCATATTCCTCCTCCTATCACTACTCATATTCATCTTCCTCCTCCTATCACTACTCATATTCATCTTCCTCCTCCTATCACTACTCATATTCATCTTCCTCCTCCTATCACTACTCATATTCATCTTCCTCCTCCTATCACTACTCATATTCATATTCCTCCTCCTATCACTACTCATATTCATCTTCCTCCTCCTATCACTACTCATATTCATCTTCCTCCTCCTATCACTACTTATTTTCATCTTCCTCCTCCTATCACTACTCATATTCGTCTTCCTCCTCCTATCACTACTCATATTCATCTTCCTCCTCCTATCACTACTCATATTCATCTTCCTCCTCCTATCACTTCTCATATTCATCTTCCTCCTCCTATCACTACTCATATTCATCTTCCTCCTCCTATCACTACTCATATTCATCTTCCTCCTCCTATCACTACTCATATTCATCTTCCTCCTCCTATCACTACTCATATTCATATTCCTCCTCCTATCACTACTCATATTCATCTTCCTCCTCCTATCACTACTCATATTCATCTTCCTCCTCCTATCACTACTTATTTTCATCTTCCTCCTCCTATCACTACTCATGTTCATCTTCCTCCTCCTATCACTACTCATATTCATATTCCTCCTTCTATCACTACTCATATTCATCTTCCTCCTCCTATCACTACTCATATTCATATTCCTCCTCCTATCACTACTCATATTCATATTCCTCCTCCTATCACTACTTATTTTCATCTTCCTCCTCCTATCACTACTCATATTCATCTTCCTCCTCCTATCACTACTTATTTTCATCTTCCTCCTCCTATCACTACTCATATTCATATTCCTCCTCCTATCACTACTCATATTCATATTCCTCCTCCTATCACTACTCATATTCATCTTCCTCCTCCTATCACTACTCATATTCATCTTCCTCCTCCTATCACTACTTATTTTCATCTTCCTCCTCCTATCACTACTCATATTCATATTCCTCCTCCTATCACTACTCATATTCATCTTCCTCCTCCTATCACTACTCATATTCGTCTTCCTCCTCCTATCACTAATCATTTTCATCTTCCTCCTCCTATCACTTCTCATATTCATCTTCCTCCTCCTATCACTACTCATATTCATCTTCCTCCTCCTATCACTACTCATATTCATCTTCCTCCTCCTATCACTACTCATATTCATCTTCCTCCTCCTATCACTACTCATATTCATATTCCTCCTCCTATCACTACTCATATTCATCTTCCTCCTCCTATCACTACTCATATTCATCTTCCTCCTCCTATCACTACTTATTTTCATCTTCCTCCTCCTATCACTACTCATGTTCATCTTCCTCCTCCTATCACTACTCATATTCATATTCCTCCTTCTATCACTACTCATATTCATCTTCCTCCTCCTATCACTACTCATATTCATATTCCTCCTCCTATCACTACTCATATTCATATTCCTCCTCCTATCACTACTTATTTTCATCTTCCTCCTCCTATCACTACTCATATTCATCTTCCTCCTCCTATCACTACTTATTTTCATCTTCCTCCTCCTATCACTACTCATATTCATATTCCTCCTCCTATCACTACTCATATTCATATTCCTCCTCCTATCACTACTCATATTCATCTTCCTCCTCCTATCACTACTCATATTCATCTTCCTCCTCCTATCACTACTTATTTTCATCTTCCTCCTCCTATCACTACTCATATTCATATTCCTCCTCCTATCACTACTCATATTCATCTTCCTCCTCCTATCACTACTCATATTCGTCTTCCTCCTCCTATCACTAATCATTTTCATCTGCATTTTCATCTTCTCATCACCAACTTCCTATTGTTACTCTTTAATTTATTTCTCAATCTTGTTCCCTCCCTCCTTCTACTTCTCCTTCTCCTTCACTCATCATCATCATCATCATCTTCGTCCTTCTCCTCCTCCTTCCCCCTCTTCTCTTCCTTCTCTCCTATCCTCTTTATCCCTTTTCTTCACCTCGTCCTCATTCTCCACGGCAGGACATTGAACTAGATTTGCCACACTCCACCCAGGTGAAGTAAATGGGTACCTGGTAGGAATTTATTCCTTGAAATGATAGAGCGCCGTATGGCAGCCGTGCTAAAGCCAGGGTAATAATCGGGAGCGCCAGGAGGGTCAAATCTGACCGAAATGAGCGCTAAACAAGAACCCATTATTATTATTATTATTATTTTTTTTTTTTAAATTATTATTATTATTATTATTATTATTTCTCATCTGTCACCTTGAAGCTTCGTCGCCCAGTCGGCATCGCCGTCGGCTTCGTATCGCAGTTTGCCGTGATGCCCCTACTCGCTTACTGCTATGCACTCGCTGTTAGCTTCGAGCAGACCATCGCCCTTGGTTGTCTTATCCTAGCCTGCTGCCCAGGGGGTAGCCTTTCTAATCTCTACACTTTTTGGACCGATGGGGACCTTTGTCTCAGGTGAGTGCTTGTATTGGCGTAGCCCCTTTTTGTCACAGGGATGGAGGGGGAGGGGGTTGGGCCGGTGCCGAGTGATTTTGCCGATCACTGGATAAAGAATATTAAAATACATTCCCGACGGAATGTTAACTGTGCCTACAAAATGAATCAATATCTATTTCTATGCTGATTGCCCCCCCCCCTTTTTAAAATGTAAAAACAATTTTTACTTCAGAATTCCATGGCGTCGTTTCACTAACCCGAACATCACAATTTAACCGACATTCCATCGAAGCGCGTGTTCATTTCGTGACACGTGTTTTAATGTCATGTCGGAGAAGTAGAACTTAGGCCTATGACGATTTGATGTCTTGATAAAGCTTTCTCGATGGTGAAACTTTAGAATTCAAAAGCTTACGATCATCTTTATTCCATCTTATAAAGAAACATTGGGGGGCAGCAAATTATAATAGGAGCGACCGAAACTAAACGAGAAATTCTTTACTTTCATTATGAAGGAGATTTCATTAAAGAAACAGCACTCGATGTTTCCCTTTAACAAAATGACACACTGTCCCATTAATAGTCATGTCCGCCGTCCAATGCACGATACCAGTACACTCCCGGAAGGGTCCAAATTCTTATCTTTCTTGATGACTAATGTAGAATGTTGCGGGTAGAATTTATCAGATGACTGTACCATCATCTTGGTTTGAGGTAGAGTGAGGTTTCATATAATTAAAGTCTACTTATAGCTCATAGACATGGACAGTGACGTAGCTATGGGTGGCACGAGAAGTGATGGGAAATACGAGCTTACCTCCCAATCGCATGGCTTAAATAATGTTTGGGTTTTCTTAAAGAGAGAGATGGAGAAAGAAAGAGACACGGAACTGAAAATTGACAAAAACGACGAAAGGACTCCTGCTTATTATCGCATGTCTTCATAATTCAAATGTAATCTACCTAGTGAGGCCGCCCCCACTAGGATGCAAGTGTCCCTCTCAGGGGCGTAAATCCGTACCGAGGAGTGGGGGGGGGGGGGAATGATCGGCGATAGCCATCACATACTAGCAGGAGCACACGCCCACACTAATTTACGCAAGCGCGCGCGATCGCGCACGCACAAACACACAACACACAAACACACACACACGCACATACACACATACACACGCACTCGCTCATTAGGGGTGTGTGGGTGATAGGCCTTAGACGTTTCCTTAAATTATTAGTAAAAGAAGACGTTTTATTGTACCGTTCTCTACTGTTAACCCTTGACACTCTTTCTTTACTTTTTTGTTCTCTTTTCTTTTATCTTCTCCTTCCCCCCCCCCCTTTTTTTCCTTCTTTTTTTCTTCCTCTTTTTTCCTTCTCAATTTTTTTGCTTCGCCAATAGGAGGGGGGGGGGGCCGCGGCCGTTTCGGCCCACCCCTGGATCCGCCACTGAAAATGAATCAATATCTATTTCTATGCTGATTGCCCCCCCCCCCTTTTTTTTTAAATGTAAAAACAATTTTTCCTTCAGAATGCCATGGCGTCGTTTCACTAAACCGAACATCACAATTTAACCGACATCCCATCGAAGCGCGTGTTCATTTCATGACACGTGTTTTAATGTCATGTCGGAGAAGTAGAATTTAGGCCTATGACGATTTGATGTCTTGATAAAGCTTTCTTGATGGTGAAACTTTAGAATTCAAAAGCTTACGGTCATCTTTATTCCATCTTATAAAGAAACATTGGGGGCAGCAAATTATAATAGGAGCGACCGAAACTAAACGAGAAATTCTTTACTTTCATTATGAAGTAGATATGGGTGGCACGAGAAGTGATGGGAAATACGAGCTTACCTCCCAATCGCATGGCTTAAATAATGTTTGGTTTTTTTTAAAGAGAGATATGGAGAAAGAAAGAGACATGGAACTGAAAATTGACAAAAACGACGAAAGGACTCCGGCTTATTATCGCATGTCTTCATAATTCAAATGTAATCTACCTAGTGAGGCCGCCCCCACTAGGATGCAAGTGTCCCTCTATTGCTTGATCCATACCATTATTTCTGTAAATCGCCTGCTGTCAGCAAGAATGGCATTTACTCATAGCATGCCATGAGGCTGTATACACGCTACCGTTATAGTGCTTTGTACATGCGAGCTAATAATAATGCATGATAAGAGTTAACTATACATTTATTAAATTTAGCAGCTGTTTTAATAATTATACATTGGTTCATCATCACCTCCGAGAAGAAACAAAACAAACGAATCACCATATCAAGCTCTTTCCACAAAATTGAATGTGACATTTCTCGAACCTTGAAATTTCCAACTTCCAGGGGTTTTCACTCAAAATAGAATGAATGTGTTTGCGATGACCAGTTTCGGATACACTGATTTCCGTTTGTACATCATGAATCTACATGAACTCATTGCAAAGTACTACACTTCACTGTCGAACGCGATTCAAGATTCAAGAGTCATGATTTATTTATCTCTTTTTTTTTCTCCCTTTTCAGGGTTCTTTACTCAAAACAAATTCCATCACATACAGTATATCCATATATTATATACAAATAATTAAAGAAATAACTTCCATACATAATGGCTTAATACAGATAATAATCACCACGGCCTAAAACTTTGTGGCATATATATATTTTTTTAAAATATATATTAAATATATATAAAAAAAATACCAATCATAAAATATATGATCACGTTTGTGTTAGCACATTTCCAACACTCTCAAAATATTTTCTAAAGTGAAACCATTTCTTTTCAATTTATTCTCTCTGAGATTTGTTTGGTATATATTTTTCCTTTTCATAATAACGTTTTACAGCTGATAAAATTATATCAAATGAAGGTAGTTGATTTTGTAATTTAGCTGAAAGTATTTCTTGTCTTACAACCATCAGAACACAGTTGAGTGCATTATTATTGCTACCGCAAAATCCAAACAATTTATTTTGATTTGTAAGTTTGATCCTTTCCCCCGTATTACGAAATATCCAGAACTCTAACTTCGACCATACTTCATTAGAACAGTTACAAAAGCAAAAAACATGTATGATAGTTTCATCATTACTACTACAAAAAGTATACTGCTTGTCAGCCACTACACCAAATCTTAACCAAGTATCCTTCATATATAATATTCTATTTATATAATAGTCATGATTGATACCTCAGCTTTATCTAGCGAGTCTGATATCAAAACGGAAACAAACAGCACAACAAGTTACATGATAATTATAGTAGACAAGTCGAACATAAAAAAATTATTATGAGTTTGGAGTAAAAAACCTGTTTAATGTGCATTTAAATATTGTGTATTACACACCTGTGTATGGAGCAGTGTGAATTAATCAGAATATAGGGTTATAAAAACTAACAATAGCCTATTACAAAGATTTTTTGCACACGATAAATTTGTCCATTTAAACACCCTCTCTTGATGAAACACATAATAATAGGCATTTGTATATAGCGCTGTCTATCTAGAAATTCTATTCCGAGGCGCGTTTATTATTAGGCTTTAGCCTAAGCTGCCATTTAAGCGCTCCAGCATTTGAATATGCCCTCCCCCGAAAAAAATGAAAAAATGTATATACATAATTATATAGGGCAAAGGTCAGCGATTTTGTTTCCAAGGGTGCGCCTTAAAAATGTTCTTGTTGTTACTTGTTTGTGTTGTTGTTCTTGTTTGTGTCGTTGCCTGTTGTGGACTTTTGCACGTCCACCTCCCCCTCATCTCGCTTCAACAAGATCGCATAGACTTTCGAAAATTCAATGCAAGGATGATTTCAACACTCGTTTGTATGTCCCATGGTTGTTTGGAACACGTAATTCGTAAATGTTCGCATATTTCAACATGTGATGGACAATGCTATTGAAATTATGTTTGGTTAATTTGTCAAAAGAAGATGCGATCGTATAATTATTGTTCTCCTTTTTTTTCTTCAATGTAGTATCACCATGACAACCCTGTCCACCCTGGTAGCTATAGGGATGATGCCCCTCAATCTCCTCATCTACTCTCGACGATGGACCGATCAGAACACCTCCATGCCTTATCTTGATATCTGTATCTCCCTCATCCTCGTCGTAGTCCCCGTTGTCTTAGGGATGGTCCTTCGGTGGAAAAAGCCTAGATGGGCACTCCTCATTGCCAAGGTAAAATTAGGATGATTTGTTTTCTTCTTCTGGATATGTATATATATATCTAGATAAATGATTATATATAGTTCTGGTAAAACAAAAAAAAAAAAAAAATCTCACAGAATCAAACGAAACTTACACTGAATGTTCAAGATTACAAATAAATGTCATTTGCCAAACAATTTTGGTAGAAAATGTATACTAGCTGAGTAATGAGCATAGAAAGATTAGGAAATCAAGGTTGGTAGCCCCGACACCATTTGTGTAGTCCCATATACATCTTTTTGTGTACAGTGCTTGTTACTTTACCAAGACTGGGCCAGAACTTTACCAGAACTTTGTAGTATACACCAATACTTACATGCTACATGATCAACTGTTTCTGATCCATTCCACACCTTTTCTTTCACAATGTAATCGGATGACCAGAACTCACATTTATCTTTAACCAGATAAATGAATATATATATGATCTTACAGCGTCATTAGAGAGACATATGTATTGTAAAAATGAGTCATTGGCAGGACATTTTGGTGTCCTGTTAACGATTGAACAAAATAATTACTGCCCTCTACGTACGTTTGCAGGCAGATGAAACTTAAAGGCCTTCCAAGAAACAAAAGGTTTCATCATTAGTTGAATTAATTATATTGTTTTGAATTCAGGGTTAGGGTTAGGGTTTGGGTTAGGATAATATACCAGTTTTTATTATATCCGGTTAATGTACCATGTAGGGTTGTATGATGTCCTGTTAATTCAACATTTAAGGTTATACAGTGCGTCCCAGAAGAAAAACGAAACCGAGAATTATTGATGCTTTATCATAACTTAATCACAATTATAGTTAATAATTGACACAGTTATATATATTCATTTATCTTTTCTATCATTCATTTTTTCATATACATATTTTGTTCTACCTTTATTTATTTATACATTAATTTTCATATCTATTTACTGTATTTACCTATCTCTAAACGTCTAAACGCATTCTCTTCATCATGCATGTATTAATTGTGTGTAGTAGTTATTGCGGAGTTCGTGGTCTGGGGTCTATATTTAGGGTCTGAATAATTGTCTATGTATAGTAAATTGTCTTGCTTACTGGCAGCGGTTATTATGGCGTTAGAAATACAGGATCGGATCGAGAATCTAGGTTCTCAAATTAGGGTTCTAGGACACCTACCCCCTGGACATCCTACCCCGGATAACCCCTTCCAGTCAACTACTCCCTAGGACAACTACTCCCTAGGACAACTACCCCTAGGACAACTACCTCCTATAATAATAATAATAATAATAGCTCACATTTATAATGCGCCTAATACTACGTTTCTAGGCGCGGAACATATTATTACCCCGGTCATCGGATTCAGGCTTACCCGCACACAAGGTATGCACATTCTCCACTCCCTGGGGAGCATTCCAGCCAGTCGCCATTTTACAAGCGCCACTTGCTAATCAAACCACATTAGCTTTCGCATCCTACCGGGTACCCCTTTTAGGGCAACCACCCTCTAGGACGACTACCTCCCGGGACAACTACCCCCAGATAACTACCCCCAAGGAAAACTACCCCAAGGACAACTACCCCCAGGACAACTACCCCCGGATAACCCCTCCCTGTTAACTACCCCCTAGGACAGCTACCCCTAGGTCAACTACCTCCTAGCGCAACCACCCTCTAGGACGACTACCCCCTAGGAAAACTACCCCCGGACAACTACCCCCAGGACAACTACCCCCGGATAACCCCTCCCTGTCAACTACCCCCTAGGACAACTACCCCTAGGTCAACTACCTCCTAGCGCAACCACCCTCTAGGACGACTACCCCCTAGGAAAACTACCCCCGGACAACTACCCCCAAGGAAAACTACCCGAAGGACAACTACCCCCAGGACAACTACACCCAAGGACAACTACCCCCAGGACAACTACACCCAAGGAAAACTACCCCAAGGACAACTACCCCCAGGACAACTACCGCCAGACAACTACCCCCTACGACAACCATCCTCTAGGACAACTACCCCCGGTCAACTATCCTAGGGGGTAGTTGTCTGGGGTTAGTTGTCCGGGGTAGTTGTCCGGGGGTAGTTGTCCGGGGGTAGTTGACCCGGGAGGTAGTCTTCCTAGAGGGTGGTTGCCTTTGTCCTTTGTTGCTCGTATATGCAATTCATGTTACGTTAACAGAAAATCAGCGCCGTTTTTTTTTGTTTGTTGTTGTGGCAGTTTACCTCACCACATCTGAACAAACCTTAAAGGGATAGTTGAGTTCTGTTGCAGAGGGCGCTACACAAAATATTTTTTTTGTGAGATAATGAAAAACTGAGTGTCAAATTTGAAAGAACATCTAAATGACGAAATCATGTTTGTTTGATCAAAATCGGTTCAGAGATGGCTAAAATATAACGATTTCTAATACTTGTGTACCACCACAAATATTAGATATTTTGACAAATTTGAAGAAAAAAAAACCGTTGAAAAAACGAAATAAAGCCTTTTACGTCGTATTTTAGCCAATGCCGATGTTGGCTTTTTTGTTGGCATTTTCGTGTTGCTTATATTACCCACAATTAGCCGGCTCATGTATTGTTATTTTTAATTAAATAATTAATTAACGGTCACCGTATTTTTTGTTAAGTGGAGCTGAATTGGTATGATCGTATTGGCTAAATTTCACACATTTTGGGGTCTAAAATTACCTTCATAGCAATTTTAGGTTCTAAAGGGCACTAGAAATGTCTTAGATAAGAATAAGAGCAATAACTATTCACTTTGAAGGCATTTGCGGTCTGAGAACAGAACTCAATTATCTCTTTAAGGGGGTTTTGAGATGCTTGTTGAAGACATCTATAGATTGTAGGTTGATGTGGATATTTTGAGGTAGTTGATTCTACATTCCTACATTACTAGGTCTATATTGTTGTTGTTGTTATTGTTATCTCCTACATAGCCTTGCAGTTGGATTGGATTCATCGGAGTGGTATGCAGCATTATCTTCGTCAGCATCATGAACCCTCGTCTCTACAGCTCACATTGGACCATCTGGGTAGGGGCGCTCACCCTCTGCTGGTTCGGCTTCGCTCTTGGCTACCTTCTCGCTTTCATCTGCCGTCAGACGCACTCACAGTGCCGCACCATCAGCTTCGAGACAGGTATCCAGAACGTCGGTCTCGCATTCGCCATCATCGCCTTCTCGTTCGCCGGAAACCCAAATATGGTGCAGATGATGACGTTCCCGGCGCTGTTTGGACCTATGAGTGTAGTGTCCGGGTTCATATATACAGGAGCGTATAAACTGCATCAGAAGTTCCGCGGTTCAGACCAGGCTGAGAAGAAGCCGGATGGAGGACCGGAAGAAGGAGTGGGTGACGGAAAGAAGAGCAATGAAGGCACGATGAAGACGACGGAAGCCGAAGGGAAGAAACTAGCAACGGCTTAGAAAACAATAATGACATCAGTCACACCGCCAAACCGACTCTTAAAGGCAGGTTATCCTACTGACCCTTCTTCAGATTTACGTATATTTGCCATCTACTGCCCACAATGTCCGCATGTTTCGACAGCCATGTCCCACAATGCATTACCACCTGCATGATGCGCGGGTAGGGTACATGAACCGGAAATTGTTAAATGTACGCCTTCACCAAAAGATGGCGCGTTTTAAAATACGGTACAGCAGTGGAAGCGATGTCGGTGAATTACCCTACCTTTAAGTTAAAAGTATTCCGAAACTGAACGATTGTTGTCTATGGTGTATGTTTGTTTGTTTGTTTGCTTGGTATGTTGTTTGTCTGATGTAATTCTTGTCGGTGTGACTGGTTTATAAAGATGATTAACATAATTTATGTTTTGTTCGAAAGCAGCTGGAGAGGTGTAATAAGTCTATCCATTTAATTATAATGAAATTCATTTCCACATGTTTATTTCGGTCTCTTACCTGTAAATAATCAATACGGTTGAAACGAGAAATAAATAATAAAGTTAGAACTAGAACTAGAACTCCTTTGCACATTACGTAAATACTGCTTTACTATTTAACTACATGTATTTTGGCTACAACAGGTTTTATCACAAATAGCAGAATCATTTTGTGCCAATGTCCCACATTAAATACAGACATAGTCCCTCTCCCCAATATACACGTACATCGTCTGCCACCACCCCTCCCCCTAATTGGGGGCAGTGCAAATCTAACAAAATATATTTTACACCTGCCTTAATTTGCCTGTTATTGCCTTAGTCATATTGGTTATGAATTTTGTTATGAATTGTGTTATATACTGTATATTATACTTTGTGAGAATGTCAAACCACATTTGTATGTATTATTGCCAATGTAAATTGTTCATAATTCAGCCATCTGGCTGCGAAGTGCAATTATAATAAAACCTTTTCAATCAGTAAAGGGACATATTAGAGTTTCTATCTCTCAAGACGGCTATCTTGATGATTCTGAATTTCCCGGGTGAATTTCCCCGCCTCCTAGATCCATTGCAGAGCCAGACTCCTGCAACCTGACAGGGGCCCTAAGGCGTGGCCCGGGACCCTTTCCGCTCTGAATTGCTACAAATCGAGGTAGACCCCTGGATTTCACTCAGAAAGGCTGACGCGTTGGCATTCTCCTATTTTTTCTTGTTATCGTCAATTCGTATGTAATATTGAATTGTTGGCAAGATCCCCTTTTTAGCCCGTATCAGTATTAGTATGATCCAATACAAAGCTATTATTCTTTATTTAATTCAGTATAATGCTTTTCCTCAAAAATAGTTTTGCTATTTTTTTAGGGTTGAGACGCTAAGAAATATTTTCAAATGTACATTACACGAACCCTGAACCATTGCAAAATGATGGTGGTTTTCTCTCTCTCTCTTTATTTTAATCATGCATTATCAACTACATATAAAGCAGCAACCAAAAACTTAGGGTTATCTGAGATAGGTGAAAGTAAGAGTTAAAAAGAAAGTCATGCTAAAACGGCGCTTCACTTCCCCCCGCCCCCTGAAAAAAATTAAATAGATTAGTAGTCCTCCTCTCCAGCATCCCCCTCCCCCCCGCTTTAATATCACATTTTCACTTGGCAGCACAAGGGGGACGGGGGGGGGGGGTGGGAGGAGTGGGTTAAACCCCCTAACCCCCTAATTTTGTTACGCTTAGGAAATATCTGGATTTACAATAGAAAATCTCCTTTATACCACATATTATTTGAAATATATCGTGAACACCCACATCGCAAGAAGGAATCACAAAGGTAAGCAGACATTTTGTGGGCAAATTGTTTATACTAATACTGTTAAAAACTATCAAATCTTTTTGAAATTCCCGCCTTTCTGTAGTGGCGCCACGTCACTGCAACCATGGCGGCCTCCGCTCCGGAGCAAGGCAACGAAACGGAAGATGATTTTATGACTGTTAGTCCAGGGAAAAAACAAGCAACGAAAAGACGAAGAAAAGAAAGTAGAGAAGTGGAAACACTTAAAATGCACGACACTTCGAACTCGGATAATGAAAATCATACTTTTGCAAACCCAAAACCATCTGACTTAAAATGCTTTCTAGTCCCAATAGACAAAACCAAAAATCTAAATATCCTAGTAATAGCTAAAGCCATACATGCAGTGGTGGGTAATAATCCAGTGGAATTCGTCAAACATGTAAGGAATGGAATCATGGTAAAGTGTAAAAACACTAAGCAACTGAGAAGTGTGAAAGAAATTGAAAACATCGGAAATATCCCCGTGAAGGCGGAAGAGATGAGAAATTGGGTGAAAGGAGTGATATATGGTATCCCCATCGAAATGACAGAACGAGAAATTCAAAATGAACTGACTAAACAGAAAGTCGTAGGGGTAAAAAGAATGATGAGTAGAAGAAAGGACAAAAAGGAAAATGGTTCTCAAGAAAGAGAAGACAAAATAAAAGAACCAATTCCCACTAGGAATATCATTCTATCATTTGACCGCAGCAACCTCCCCTCTGAAATAACGTTTTGTTACCAATTATTTAAGGTCAAACAATTTATTCCACCTACTCTCAGATGTTTCAAATGCCAACGTTTCGGCCATGGAATAGCACAATGTCAAGCCAAGCCCAGATGTGTTGGCTGTGGGGAGACGCACTCCTTCGACGAATGTCCCCACAAAGAAACGCCAAAATGTATTAATTGAGGAGGCGAACACTCTGCGGCATATTTGGGATGCCAAGAAGCTCAAAAAGCAAAAGAAGTGCAGAGAATCAAAATAGAAAAAAAGTAAGCTATGCTCAAGCTGCCAAAGTTTGGAAGAATGATCAAGATCAAGCAATGGATACAAACCAAATCCGAAACGCACCTCTTTCACAAGAAAGACAAGCGGTAGACTTTCCGGTACAGATAAACAAACAAACACCCCAGATAAAAGAATCCGAGAAGAAAATGAAAACTTATCCCAAACAAATAAAACAAAACGAAGGCAGACAACAAAACAGAAATACGAAAGAAAATACTTCACACGAAGATTATTCTGGAACCACGCAGTATGTTCATGAAGGAGGAGAAGTTAGTAAAAATGAGAAAAACTTAATTGTCAATGCCAGTAATGAAGAAATAATATCATTCATTGTATATATTCTTGCAAACTTTAATCAAGAGAAAGATAATCCAATAAGCCTGATTGTAGGAGCAGCTCTCAAATTTTTCAATCTCACTAAATAATGTTAAATGAACAAAATGTTATTGGCCTGGTATTTTAGTCTGTTCGCCTCCGTGACCCTAAATATACTGCAATGGAATGCGCAGGGCATAAATGGTCACGGAGACGAACTGAGACTTCACATTAATAATAGACAAGAAATAATTCATTTAATTTGTGTGCAAGAAACTTGGCTATTAGAAAACGAACGTTTTGATATAAATAATTATGAAGGAGTTTATAGAAATAGAAAAACAGGCATACGAGGTGGATGTGCTATATACTTCCATAATTCGTTAGGACATAGCAAAGTTACAGAACATGAAGACATAGAATGCCAAAAGGTGAATATATATTTCAATCAATGTATATACACAGTGGTGAACTTTTATAACCCATGTAAAAAGATTACACCACAGATATTGGATAATATAACAAAAAATGCAAAAGAAGCTAAAAGAACAATTATATTAGGAGACTTTAACGCACATAATACTTTATGGGGTAGTGACAAGACCGACGGAAATGGAAAAATTATCGAAAAATACATGTTGAAACATGGTTTTACGATTTGTAATCTTGGGGAAGGTACAAGAATTGACCACAGAACGACAAAGCGTTCAGCATTAGATTTATGCTTTTCATCTCCAAATATTTCCCATAAGATTTCTTGGAGCGTAGAATCTACCACTTTAGGAAGTGATCATTTTCCTATATAATTTGATAGAAATAGGAAATCAAAATAATCTTCCAAAGATTGATCCGGAAGAAATAAATTGGTCACTTGCTAATATTAATTGGGAAACATTCCAACAAGCATGTGAAGAAGAGATGATAAATATAGACGAACATAATGTAGAAGAAGCTTACATTATATTTGTAGAAACTTTGAATAAAATAATGATACGTCTAGGAAAAGTGAAAGCAAAAAGAAGACAAAATCCTGTTCCCTGGTGGAACAAGGAATGTTCACAAAGTATAAAAGAAAGGAATCACCTAAGATATTTAGCAGAGAAAAGAAAAACTGGAGAGTATGTAGAAGATTACCTGGCAAAGAAAGCAGAAGCACAAAAGATCAAAAGACAAGCAAAACGAGACTATTGGATCACCTATTGTAAGGAAATGACTCGTTTCACATCAATGACAGATATTTGGAATATGATACGTAAAATAGAAAATAGTAAGACTAATAAGAAAAATGAAAATATTAAATCGTTAATATATGAAGAGAAAGAAATAATAAATCCTCAAGAGGTTGTAGATGTGATGGCTAATCATTTTGAAAATATTAGTGAGAGTACAATAATAAACAAGCAAGCCGAAAATATAGTAAAAGAACATTTGCAAGAAAATGTAAATGATCAGGAACTACGTAGAAATCAGTCTTTGAATCAAACATGTACTATGCAAGAATTCAACCAAGTCCTGAAAAATCAAAAAGATACAGCACCAGGAAAAGATAAAATTGGATATGAAATCTACAAGAAATTATCAGTACAGATTAGAAATAAAATGTTAAAAATTATGAATAAGATTTGGGAAAGTGGAAACATCCCCCAACAGTGTAAACACGGAATCTTGATACCGATACTAAAAGCAGGTAAAGATCCACAAAAACCATCATCGTATAGACCAATAACATTAACTCCCATCTTTATAAAGATATTGGAAAAGATGGTTTATAGAAGACTAGATTGATATTTAGAAAATAAAAGTATTTTTCCGAGCATACAGAGCGGATTCAGAAAAGGAAGAAGCTCTACAGATAATATTATACTACTTGAAAATATTATTCAGCAAAGCTTAGGGAATCATGAACATACATTAGTCTGCTTTTTAGATGTAACCAAGGCATATGATAAGTTGTGGTACAATGGTTTATTATATAAATTACTCAAACTAGGAGTGAAAGGAAATATGTATACATTTATTCAGAACTTACTACAGAAAAGAACCTTCCAAGTGAGGAATGGACAGACAATATCTAAAATATCTACCCTAGTCAATGGATTACCACAAGGAAGTGCCCTTAGCCCAATTTTATTCAACATTATGATGCATGATATACCACTGGAAAAGGAAGTGAATATATCATTATTTGCAGATGACTGTGCTATATGGAAATCAGGTAAAAATGAAAAGTTTGTGCAAAACAAAGTACAAACATACTTAAATCGGTTAAATGAATGGTTTAAATACTGGGGAATTTCAATATCTAATGAAAAAACAGTTTCGCTTCTATTTACAAACAGTAATAAAAAATGTGAACTGAAACTTGAAGGAGTACCCTTACCTTCTGTACAGGAGCACAAATTCCTAGGCTTAATGTTTGATACAAAATTAAGTTAGAGACCACATATTCAGGATATAGTAAAAAGATGTAAAATAAAATTGAATATATTGAAGAAAATAACTGGTATATCATGGGGAAATGACTCCCACTCTATGCTTATTGTATATAAAGCATTAATACGTTCACTGTTTGACTATGGATGTGAAGCATATGATTCGGCTTCAAACTTAGTGAAGAATACGTTGAACTCAGTACAATATCAGTCTTTAAAAATTATAACTGGTGGCCCTATTGGAACTTCATTACAATCCCTGCTTAAAGAAACAGGAGAAGAACCACTAGACATAAGGAGAAAAAT